TCTTGATGAAAATATCCTTTGTTATATTCATTAATTTTTATCTTACTAAAATAACAATTTCAGTTGGCGAAAATTACATTTTACTTGACGATAAAGTGCAAAATTAAAATGAATATTAAACAGTTTATATATTACTGTACTTTAAACATATTAACATTTAACAAAATCCTGACTTCATTGATTATGATTAAATAAACCATATATTTTCTAGATATTTCTAGTTCCCTTTCAGTCGGTCACTCTCGACGTCACGTCGGAGGACCGACGAAATTGGGATCTCGCTTAGAGGGACCAATCTACTTCGAGTGTAAACTAAACGAGCCAATGCACATTGGCATGCGATTATTGCATCCAGCTGCTGCTGATCACAGCGTGAGTATAAGTAGGCAGCAGGTGCAGCGCATATTCAGCTTTTCGCTGCGGAGCCGAGCGATCACATCGTTCCGCTCCTGACTACTCTACGGAGAGAAGACTGAACGAGTTCAGCACGCTCTTGGAGAGCTCTTCATGTTGGCGGACGGCGCTTCAGCGGTGGTGGTTTCCCGTGTCGAGTGGGTTGCACACATCAGGCCGCACTACCCCCTGATTGTGTTGCAAATGAGTATTATTTTTTATTGTCATATTTTGACCAAAAGTATGTTTTTATTAACATTTTTCATTATGGTTCATCTTGTCTTTATGATTGGTGACACATAATGTACATTTATGCATCTACTCCAGTATTCTTTTTTTTTATTATTGTTTTAGTCATAGTTTTTTGTGTTGATGAAAATATCCTTTGTATTTAGTAAATGTTTTGTCATTTCATAATCAAAATTACTACTTTTTTTTTTACATTTTATAAATTTTATTATACAAAATCCTGACTTGACTATGATTAAATAAAACATATTTTCTAAATGTTTCTATATCCTGAGTTTTTTTTTGTGTGTGTCATATTTTACAATATGGTTTCATTAAAATGTTTCATTATGGGTAGTTGCGTCTCCATTATTGGTGATACAAAATATACAAGTACGCCGGTATTCATTTTAATAAAAATGAAATTTTTGGTTTAATATATATTTTAAAATCCTTTATATTTAGTTATATTTATATTTAGTATATATTCATTAATTTTAGTAAATTTTAGTTAGTAAGAAAAATTTTACCAAATATTCAAACATTATCTATATAAATCTAAACATATCAACGTTACAAAATCCTAACTTTATTGACTATATTTAGATTATAGATTTGATTATATGACAATAATTTTTGGATCATTGTTCAGATCTTGCAATGTAGACCGATTTATGCTTGTGTACATTGGTGCACCCAAGAATTATCTTATTTAGGGTACTTTCAAAACTCCCAAAATCACTTGCACTCTCATGCGACACCTGGATCACTGTGAAAGCTATCATGTTCAAGAGAGCATGGGGATCCTGAAAGCTCGGGCCAGACATGACGGTCTTCCTCTTTTAAAAGAGCATTGTCATGGAGACGCTTCCGACACCACACAACGTTAAATGGCAGAGCCACAAGAGATATTCAGCTGCACGCACACACACACACACAATAGCAAATGCGTGCAATTAAAGAGGTGTTCTTCATTTCACATCCACCTGGATGTCTCAGCGAGAAGCTTGCCAACCGATAGACTTGAAGATAAGCGATCAAAAACAGAGATTCGATCTCACGCACACACACATCTTCATGTCTGATTATAGTTAAATGGGGTTGTGTTGAGTCTGGTCGCTATACACACAGATCTGGCCTCACCCTAAGGATTTTGGGTAACGGAACACTGCAGATCCACATCTCAATAAGTGTAGAAACAGGTTTCCTCTCTCTCGTTCTCTCGTTTCATCCTGTTTCTTTCTTTCAATCTCTCACTCTCACTTTTCTCATAACATAATGGATTTTGCTCTTCATCTTGTTCATTTTCTGTATCATGCCCATAAGACTAAGGTTTTAACTAAAGAAAACAAGATCATTCACCCATAAAACAAACAATTTTTTACTCACCATCATGCCATTCCAAACCATGACTTTTTATGTACTTCTGTAAAACACAAAAGAAAACATTTTAAAGTTTTTAAATTCAAATGGAGACAGGAGCTTTCAAAAGCAATAAAAAGCACCATAAAATTCTTATAAAATGTGTGTGCTAGTCCTCTAAAGCTGTAGCTTTGTGTTGCAAAGAGACCAAATTTAAGTTGGTGATAATCTTCACTTCTAATGGGCTGAAACCAAATAACTGAGTCAGTGAGTTTGAAAACTGATTCAGTCTGACGTGTGAATGAATTGGTGAATCATTCAGGTTTTCGCAAACTGGATCAAGTGATTCATTGAAAAGATCTTATTCAAAAGAATAATTATTAAACAAATTAGACATTGCTACTATTACTTTCATTGGTTCTTCTAGACAGCAATGAAATTGGATGTACATCAAATGGACACATTTGCTTTAAAGTTGGTATGGAATGAAAAATCTTTCTAAATGCTTTTTATTGATTTAATTGTGAATGATTCACCCATGCACGTTTGTTTTTTTTTTTTTTTCAATTTGACCTTGTAATTTGTAGTCAAAAATATCATAACTTGATCTTTCAATGACACAACAAACTTTTCTCTTCTGACATATGCCAGACTTCTCCAGTCATTTAGTCCACTTTAACCTCTGCACTTTCTTACAATTGACCTTAAGATCGCATTCAGATCTTTATATTTTATTTTCAATAATCCATTTCTGATGGTTGACATATTATGGTGCAAAAGATCTGTTGCTACTTCCTTTACATTGCACTGTTAAGTCTTCTGCTTCTCAGGTTATTATCCTGAGAAAATACCTTTTAATCTCATACATTTCCTTCAGACTTTCAAAAGATATCCGAGTTTGAAGTCTCAAACTATGCTCAGAGTTTCCAAGATTTCAAAGTATACAATCAACAATTTTCGTCAAATTATACCAAGACCAAATACAGGTGCATCTCAATAAATTAGAATGTCGTGGAAAAGTTGATTTATTTCAGTAATTCAACTCAAATTGTGAAACTCGTGTATTAAATTAATTCAGTGCACACAGACTGAAGTAGTTTAAGTCTTTGGTTCTTTTAATTGTGATGATTTTGGCTCACATTTAACTATGCAAACCATCTTAGCTCTGCACTCTTACTGTATGTTGTCAGTTGTTGTCAAAAGACAATCGTTGTCTATTTTTCTATTGTTTAATTAACATTTTGTCTATTTTTATTTCTCCTAGGGAATTGTTGGAACCCCATTGAGTCTTTTAAGCGATGAAAGAGCAATACATTTTTTCTCTGGTACAGACAAAGACGCTGATTATATCTGTACATGCACACATGCACGTCTCCTGGCTTCCCCTCTTTGGTGTCCTCTGATTTTCCAAAACATCTTAGCGAGGGAGAGAGTGAGAGAGAGAGAGAGAGAGAGAGAGAGAGAGAGAGAGAGAGGGATCATCATAGGGTCTCTGTGGAAATTTTGGTGTGGGAGACAGGCCTGCCCGGTCTGCTCTTTTTTTTTCTATTGTTTAATTAACATTTTGTCTATTTTTATTTCTCCTAGGGAATTGTTGGAACCCCATTGAGTCTTTTAAGCGATGAAAGAGCAATACATTTTTTCTCTGGTACAGACAAAGACGCTGATTATATCTGTACATGCACACATGCACGTCTCCTGGCTTCCCTTCTTTGGTGTCCTCTGATTTTCCAAAACATCTTAGTGAGGGAGCGAGTGAGAAAGAGAGAGGGAGAGGGATCATCATAGGGTCTCTGTGGAAATTTTGGTGTGGTAGACAGGCCTGCCCGGTCTGCTCTTTATTTAACAGTGGGAGTAAAGAGAGATGAGCTCTGTGTGTGCAGATAAATATAGTGTGAGAACAGGCAGTCTGCTGGGGAACTCTTCACAACCTAACACTACCTAACTTTCTCAGTCCAAGAGAAAAGTTGAGTGAATTACAAGATGCAGGTCATCAAGGACCATCAATACACACACTCATGTGACCAGATACAGTGTAGTTTATACACAATAGATAGAATTGGATGCAAAGAGAGATAAACCACCTACACACACTGTCCTCCAACACACACACTCTCAAACCTGTGGAAACACAGCAGTTTCTCAGTTAGAAGCTGACCTTCTAGGCACTTTTGGCCGAGTGTAAACCAAGAAAGAAGGACAGAAAGAGACAGAAGTGACACGCACATTCAAACGTGTCCAGCTGCTCCCTCGGGTTGCTATTAGTTTGTAATCATAATGAAGATGAGAGAGTTGGGGAGAGCGGCTACAGTGGAAAACCTGCAGAAATGATGTCAGAGCAATCGCGACCACCGATTGGAGTGGAGATTCCCGGCGAGAGCCTATAAAACCAGGAAAGACAACAGCAGGAACCAGCAAAGGCAGAGAACGTGAGAAATTCCAGGAACTGCACAGTGTCCATCTGTCCATCCCCGTGTGACTGAAACCTAATCAGATTAAGGGTAAGGAGCCTTGGAGAAAGACCAACCTGCATGTTCTTACAGGGCTGTGTGAGTGTGAGTGTATGTGTTTGGGTGGAAAGGTGAGCAGACAGGTGTTGAAGATGTATTTGAAGACTTTTGTTAGGAGTCGCAGTAGAATAATGCTGGTTAGTTGGTACAGAATCTGCTGTTTGATAAGCAACTGTGAATTTGTTTGAGCTCCAGGGTTACGGATGAACCAGTATCGGAAACATCCTGTTGATGTTGCATTACTGCAATAGTGACACAGTTGTGAAATCATGTCTGGTATCAGAGAGCTGTTGAGAGTGTCTTTGAGAGAGCGAGTGTATGTGTGTGTGTGTGTGTGCAGGGTGTCCAGTGAAGTGTGTGTGGGCAATGGGAGATGGCTGGAGTTGTTTATTTTTGGGGATGGAAAATGCTAAAGTTAGCCCATGTTGCTGGACAATGCATTTTCCCAGTCGTGGGGCAGGAGAGGGGCCGCATCTGGTCCGGTGCTCAACGCACCAGACCTCAAATGCCAAGGACGGGATACTGGGTCAAATGATAAGTGGAAATGCATTATTGGGCATTTTTGTAAGATACTCTACAATCCTGCAGAAGAGTTTTGAAACATTTCTAGGAGAAATACTGTGGCAGGTGTTCATATTTGGTGAGAAAATTAGTTATACATGTTTAAAAATTAAAATGAACAATTGATAAAAGGTCAAAACTAAAAATGGGTTATGAAAACCATGGATTACAGGATTCAAGGTCAGAATTTCACAAATACTACATTTAGCTTTGTTTTGATATTTGTCTATCTTAGCTATGTTTATCTATATATCTATCTATCTATGCTGAAAAAATAATTTGTGTAGAAACTATTTTCACTTAAACATTTCTAGCAAACTTCACAATTAATTACAAACACATGGCAAGTAAGACATTGAATTAAACATGAAATTTTGAAGTAGAAAGAAATCGTATTTTCTTGTTGGCTAAAACATATTCTATCTGTTTTATTTCTAACTTAGAAAAATATTTATTACAATGTATCTATCTATCTACATTTACATTTAAGCATTTAGCAGACACTTTTAAGCACTATCTATCTATCTATCTATCTATCTATCTATCTATCTATCTATCTATCTATCTATCTATCTATCTATCTATCTGTAACCTATTATTAGGTTACCTATTACTATGTGGTAGAGGTTCTTTCCAGTCACTGTATGCATTTATTTCATTTATATATAAGTAATTTAAAAATAAATCATGTTTAAAGGAAAGTGTCACAAATATGTCATTTCTATAGTTGCAATTTAACATATCTGCCAGCAGACGGCAGTCAAAATGTAAGATTCAGTGCAGCATCATAATCTGAATACCATGGTTTTAGAAATCAAAAAAGTGAAAAAGCTAAGACAATGGTATTCTCATTTTATATATTTACTGTAAATAAATTGATACAAAACATTTACTCAAGTGATGCGAAACTACAGTAACGCGCAGTCCCGCCGTGAGGATGTTTTTGTGTGAGTGTGGTTAAGAGTGTGTTTTGGGGACACACAGGTAGGGGTGCAGGTCAGAGTGTGTGTTTGGGCTGAGTTCATGTGTTTGTGTAGAGGGTGTGTGTTAGAAGCATTCTCACACTCTCGCGGCTGCCGGACCGCCCAGTCAGAGTGTATTTTCACAGATGGAGTCTGGATGAATGTAAACACCGCCCTGTATCACAGTAATTCAACACGGTGCTGAAGCTGAAGTGTGTGTGCGCAAGCTCAATTGACAATGCACTGACACAGAGACATAAAAACTGCAATCATTGTAATTATGTTGCTGTGTGTGTGTGTGTGTCTATATATATATATATATATATATATATATGCTACTACTACTACTACTACTGCTGCTGCTGCTGCTGCTACTACTACCTTTTTTAATAAATTATGCACTGACACAGAGACATAAAAACTGCAATCATTGTAATTATGTTGCTGTGTGTGTGTGTGTGTCTATATATATATATATATATATATATATATATGCTACTACTACTACTACTACTGCTGCTGCTGCTGCTGCTACTACTACCTTTTTTAATAAATTAATTTTAATCAACAAGGATGCATTAAAACTGATCAAAAGTGAGTCCTGAAAAAGAAAACACTCAATCATAGTTTCCACAAAATAAATAAATAATTAAGCAGCACAACCATTTTTACACTGATCGTAAGAAATGTTTCTTAAGCAGCAAATCAGCATATTAGTATTATTTTTTTGAAGGATCTGGAGCAATGGCTGCTAAAAAATTCAGCTTTACCATCACAGGAAAAAATTTGCATTTTAAAATATGTTAAAATAGAAAACAGCTGTTTTAAATTGTAATAATATTTCACAATATTACCGTTTACTGTATTTTTGATCAAATAAATGCAGCCTTGCTGAGCATAAGAGATTCCAAGACCCCAAACTTTTTAATGGTTTTATATAATATTTGATTGTGAATAATCACATTGTTAATTGTATTGTAATTGTATTGTAGATAATGGGCTGCGGATGTGTGCTGCTCTCCAGTCTGCTGACACTGACCTTGTTCCACTGCAGTGCAGAAAGCCTTCACGTACCCCAAGAAAGATCAGAGGTGAGTCCAGGTCTCGCTGATATATAAATATGCATACTGTATGAGAGAGAGAGAGAGAGAGAGAGAGAGAGAGAGAGAGAGAGAGAGAGAGAGAGGGAGTGAGAGAGAG